TTGGTATGTTGTGATCAAGGACTGAAATAAATTTAAGAAATTAAATTTTTTAATGTTATAAAACATCATCATAACATCATCGACTGCAATGGTAAGGTCTCGTCTGTAATCGTCGAGTTTGCGAATACAACCGCCGTGTATTTAGTGGAGGAGAGTTATAGGTTTCTTGCAGACAAGAAGAGTGAAAGGTCAAAGATGTCCGTTTACTTTTGAGCACTTTGAGCCGACAGCAATATCGTGCAATCATCTATGTACGAGGTGATAGAAATTCCTTCTGGTGGTTCAGGGAGTTTCGATATTTAAAATTTAACAGGAACAGGGAGAGTACACCACCCACGGCTTCAAGTAGAATTGTGTGATTGACTGTGTCAGAAGCTTTTGACAAGTCCAACGCTACGAGGGTCACCCTCTTGCATGGTGGTTTTTGGTTCAGACCGCGAACTGCTCAGGCGTTTCGAGTCTCTCTGCAAATGGCAGGCACCTTGCTGTGGTGCAGAGGCTTAAGTAGCAAGGCATACTCGGCACCTCCCAACAAATGTCAGTTATCTTACATGTTCATAGGAGTTGTCAGAAGTCACATGTGTGCCGCAATCAAGAATTGTCACCTCTTAACCCAGAGTGCTATGCGACTCCCCAACCCATTGGATGATTTGCAGCAGTAGGTTAATTCAGCTGTATTAAAACGAAGCCTTCCCAAGAATGTTCCGAATTGGGAAGTTGCGGTAACCTTACCGCTTCATAGGTGGGGCGAACCTTTGTGTTCTCCTCTGCAAACGGAGACCCGCCCGCTCACCACGTTGAGTAAAGGGTCGTAAGCACAATTTGAAAGACGCCACAAAAAAACAAAAACAACTACAACTTCAACTACAACAACCACAGCAGACGACTAAGGCCAACGACAAGGGTGGTATGCTGCAGGTGGCCTACAGGGACGAGAAGAGTGCTAACTAGCTAAAAATCGCTTCCAAGGATCCCGGTCTATGCGCAAAGAGGGGAGAGGACATTGCATAGCAGTTTTAAATTGAACCGATCCTATAATGGTCGCCGAATGCAAACATGTTGCCTGGCTTCACACAGGAGAGTGTAAGGTAATCTGGATTCTCTGTAGCGAAAGTTGCACATCTTGTATAGTAGTTAGGAGCAATTTAAATTTTTTTTTTTGCATTTCAAAGTTCAAGGATAACGAATATGCTGCCTTCGTCCCGCAGGTGCCTACTTTCCGGTAGAAACACCAGAGGCCGTGCAGGGTCTAGCGGATACACACAGAATGGGGCAGCACCCACTGCAATGCGTGAAAGTAGACGTGTTTTTAGTGGTCTAAAATATCAGCAAGAATTTGTGGTTTTGAAAGCGGTAGCAGGTTTGTTTTTGTTCGAGCTTTACCGGGAGACTGGAACTGGACTTTTGTTTGATTGGACGCTAATACCAAAAATTAGATAAGTACTTTGATTTGGTTTCAATACAATTTATTTGGCACTTACCTGCCCCTTTTTTGGTAAATTTATATACAAAAAATAAAAATTGCACTCATTTCTGTTTTGCCGTTTTGATTTAGTATATTTAGTCTATCAACTGTTTTTTGTTTTGTTTCTCCTTCTTCGTTTTGCTTTGGTTACGGCATTGCCAACCATCAAAATATAAGTAAGGTTTGTTAGGGCAAAAATTTGCTAGGGGACGGGAAGTCGGSCAGAGGTACGTCGGCCCTGAGTCTGGAGAGCAGGCTATCTGCGCTGAATCAGGCCATCACAAATGCGTACCACTGCAGCTGCCCCCTAAAGACGATC